ACTTACGTTCCAGCTCTTCATCGGCTGATTTTTTTCATTAAGAGCATTTTGTTGGTGTTATTTACAACTGAGATTATATTATATAAAAATAAAAAAAATTAGTTATTGTTTGAAAAATTGGCTGATTGATTGATAAAATTCAATTTACATTCTGGTTCTTCATCAGCTGATTTTTTTCATTAGTGGCATTTTGTTGGTATTGCTATTGATTGAAATTCTATTATAAAAAATAAAAAAAATCAGTTATTGTTTGAAAAATTGACTGGTTGATTGATAAAATTTAATTTACATTCTTTTTGTTCTTGTAATGATTTTTTTATTTGTCATTTTGGTGGTCTTTTGCAAAAAGAGAAATTGTAAAAAAAAGAAATTAAAAGAAGAAATTTGATTGTAGAGATAAAATTTGATTTAAAAAGATAAAGTTTGAGTTGAAATTATTTTTTTAAGAAGTGGAAAAATCAAGCTTATTTATATAAATTTTCATATATATGCCAGAAATAAACTCAAATAGTTATATCAGATAATACATTAAATCAATATAATACTTAAAGTAAATCAGAAACAATTATCAATATAATATAATACTTTAATTATGCATTAAAAAAGACTTAAAATAAATTAGAAACAATTTATCAATATATTAAATCAAAACGTATATAAAGTAAATCAGAAATAATTTATTGATATTTTAAATCAAAAAGCACTTAAGTAAATCAAAATAATACTTTCATTATGCATTAAATCAATATAAGATTTGAAAACAATTTATTATTATATTAGATTAAAACACACATAAAGTAATTAAAAATAATACTTTCATTATGCATTAAATCAATACAAGATTCAGAAATAATTTATCAATACATTAGATCAAAATAACTTAACAAAAATAGTTATAAATATTACAATTATTTTAAAAAGGAAATTTGTTTAATTGTTTACACTTACTAAAAAAAAAACAATAATTTAATATAATAATATAAATATTTACAAAATTACTGCACTTTTTAAAAAATATAAAATTCAACTAAAATCGTTCTCAAAAATAACTCCATTATGAACTTTTATTTTTCTCTTAATTTCTCAATTATAAAATAAACATGAGCTGAAAAAGATTAATTTCTAAATTATGTGGTGCTAATGATGATGATTCATCTAGTCAATCTTCTAATATATCTTCTTATAAAAGAAATAGATCAATTCCTAAATTAATCGATAAAGAAGATATTTCTACTTTTTAATCTTTAAATACACCTTCTCATAGAAGAACAAGTAGGTCAATTAATAATTTAACTGATAAAAAAAATGTATCTACTTCTAGACCATCAACCTCTCATAATACTAGAGTTAGATATCAAGATTCAAAAGTTCTATTTCAGATACATTTCATTAATTCAGAATATAAGATAAAATGGAAGAATCGTCAACATCAACTTTAACTGGACGAATTATAGAAATTATTAAATATGAATCTGATGATGAACATCAAGAAGATTTTAATTCTACTTTTCTACCTTGAAGATATATAAGAAAATACACAAACATCCAAAATTTGATATAAATCCTTTTGATGATTCTAAAATAAAAACTGATCAACATTCAGAATCTTTAAAATTTACCACTAAAAAGATTATATTACAGGTGAATCTGAAGATGATGATATTTCTATAGAGGATGATTTTGAAACTTTTGAAGATTATATATTACTGGATTATAAGTTATTTCAAAATCTACCAAATATAGAATCAATTGATAACTGACTTTTGTAGATTTTACTTTAGATCATGTCATTTTGAACAAGATTCAACATTATAGAGTTTGCAACTAAGGTGTTAATAAAATTTATGAAATTAGTTTTGATAGAAATCAGAGGTAACAAATTTAGAAAATTTTCAAATTCAATATACTTAACAAAAAAACACTTGGATTAAATGACTTATTTTACCATTTCGTTTTTTGTTCTAAATGTTATAAGCTGTATCAAAAATAGGAAGTGGTGAATTTTCAACAGAATAATATGCTGACTGTAATGAAATATCAGCATAGAATTTTTTAATTTGTTAATTTGCAAAACACAATTTTGCAATATTCTATTATCTTAAAAAATCATATTAACAAATCAAACTTTAATTCAATCTAATTTAATCTTTCTGTTTTCTGCAATTTGACAACAACTCACTTCTATGTATCATCAGCCTAATTTTAAAATTAGCCTGAGATAATAAACAAATCGTTAGCATTTTAACAATATTATGACTAATATATATGATGGTAAAGTATAACAAATATTAAAAGAATTTTCACAAGAAGATTCAGCAATTTTTTTCATAATGAAGTGGCCAATTCTTATTTTGGATTAATATTAAATCTTGACTGGTTCTAGCCATATGGTGGTATTGTTTATAGCATTAGAGTAATATATGCTACTATATGCAATTTGCCTTATGATATCTGATTTAAACGTGAAAATTTACTGACTCTTGATCTTTTATCCAGACCAAGAAAAGTCAGTTTACATAAAATAAATCACTATTTAATATTGATTATAGATGAATTAGAATCACTTTAAGATGGATTTATAATAGATAAAATATATGAATATTCTGAAAGAAAGAATATTTGTACAGTCAACTCTTGTTATAACGAACTCTATGTTCTAGACCCCAACTTCGCTATAAGGCTATAGTGAAGATTTTAAGAGATTTGATTGGCCAATTCGCTATAACAAGAGTATTTTTATTATATTTGTTTAAAAAATTCGTTATATCAAGAGTTCGCTATATCAAGAGTTGACTGTATAGCTTTAATTCTTGTTTCATGTGATGTATCAGTCGTTAGAAAAATATGTGAATATATTTCAGCTTTAGTATCATGTTATAAATGTGAAAAGAAAGCAAATTATAAAAATTATCAGCATAATTTTACTGGAATAAATAATATTGGTGATTGGTTCATTATATGAGATCTAATTGAGCATTATTAAAATACGTTAAAATAGAGATGCTGCAATTCAGACACTTCACAAAAATGATTTATAAAGCAAAGTGATATAAGATAGTCTGAATTATTATGTTTGCCATATTTTGACCCTATAAAATATATTACAATCGATCTAATGCATTACCTATTTTTGGGTATTACACTCACTAGTTGAAATAATCCATTTCAGTCAGAATTAGGATTGCTAGTTTTAGGTTTAATTTTGATCCAAAGTTAGCTTTTTTTATTCAGATGTTAGGTAGTTGACTAACACCTTTAGTTATATCTTTCAGTTATCTTTAGACTTGAAATTCAGGTAACAAACAACTATAATTCAGGTATAAATATTGACTAACTTTTAATTACATATAGATAAAAAATCAGCTGAAATTTTATGTTGAATTTTATATGAATTCAATTGCATTTTTTATTGTATTTTAACTTAATTTTGTAAAATTTTATTATTAATAAAAACGCAAATATAAAAATAATACATAAAAGTACAAAGACCGCAAATGTTATATAAGAATCTTACATAAAAAGCAAATATTATATAAAAAGCAATATGTGAAAACATTAAAAGTTCATCTAGAATTATACATCTTTATCATTGGTAAAATATTGTGAGATATCATCGTAATTGTTATCACCTTGTGAAGCGTTGTCATATCATAGAATATTGTTATATTGTAAAACATCTTTGTCTTATTCATTTTGTAAATTCGCTCCTCTTATCATACCAGTTGTTGAAGATTCACCATATATATGTTCTACTTCAGTCCTATAATCAAGTAAACGGTCATAACCGTCAGTAGCTCTTTGTCATATAATTTTGTCTTGTGAAGATACTCATTGCCTACAAGTTCAACTTGACACATTTTTTGGCAGTAGTACATTGTTGCAGAAATGAATATCATCATAAATCTGAGGTCTTGTCAGCTGAGCTGATTGTTATAACAATGCATGCTTTTCGAATACATTTCGTAAAAGATTCTTAACTGAAATTATATGAAGAAAATTAAAAATTAAACGAATTATTATTAGTACTTGAGGAAGCTAATACACTAAGAATAATAACAATTATTAAACCTCATTTAAATGCTAAGAATAATCATATACGACTATCTGGCGTTTTCTTTCATCATTTTTCTGATCTGTTTCTGATTTCTCAGATGAATAATATCCTGAAATCCTGAGCAATTTCATAATTTCATTTTTATTATATTTTGAGACTTGAGGATTTTTCGTATTGAATAAAGCCAATGCACCTCTTATTTGTCGATCTCTTTTCTATATATATGAAAAATATTAGATACAAATGTTAAAAATTATAAAAACTAACAAATTTCATACTTCTGCTACGCAATTGTTATTGTGTATTCATCTGTTAAATTGATCTTGAGTTCCTTTTTGGCCTAACATATAACTGTCTCTTCAGTGCTTATGTAATACATAGAGCACTCCTTCAATTGATTATACGAATAGTTATATTGAGGTCGTAATGATCTTAATAATTCCAATACTAATTGTTGCCAGATTCTTTTATTGTCTGAGCTATTAAATACTTGATCATATTTTATTTCGAAGTTGTTTGATAAAGTTTTTAATATCTTCTTCATTTCTGCTTATTTATAAGAACAAATATTTGGATAAAGATTAAAATTTAAATTATCACAATAAAATTAAATAAAATTACAAACCCGTACTGTTTCATCATCTGATTCTTGGGCTTCAATTGATGAAGCTTTATTTTTGCCTTTCAATTTTGATATAAATTTTATCCTTTTTCTTGGCTGAGAGGAACGATCATCATTATTAGCTAATGTATTGTCATTCTTATTAATTAATTGTTGTTCTAATTTGTATCGATCAAATTCTATTTTTATCTCATCCTTAAGTTTTATAAGTTCTTTATTAACAAATATAAGAGCTTCATTTTCTGCTCTTAATCGTTTTATTTTCATATTTAGATGATCTACATTATCACAAACACTTTTAATCTGCTTGATAATAATACTATGTCATTTTTGCCAAAAGCGAGTTTTCTCTTTCCACCGTTCAACTTCTTCTCTTGGTCTTGTAATTTCTAAACAAACTAGTAGATTAAATTGACGATAAAATGATATGATGATATAACAAGCCAAATAATATACCTTCGTGAGAATAATTGATAGGTTCTATAAGTATATTTCTAGTTATACTACAAATAAGCACATTACTCTTATTATCATCGATTATTTCAGTGAAATCTGATGCCCAAAGGCCATGCATTCTCCCTTTGAGATTTTTGACAGTCTCTAGCATTAATTGATTGGTATTAACTGTATTTTGTTGATTATTACCTTCCAAATTTAGGATATGATGACTTGTATTTTGTTGTGAAGCTGAAGTGCCTGAAGCTGGTAAGGTACGAAGAGTATTTGTTGTATTATTTCATGAGGCTTAAGTAGTATGAAGAGTTTTTGTTATATTATTTTGTAAGACTGGAATGTTTAAAGTTGGCTGTGTATTTTGTTGTGAGACTAGAGAGTCATTATTCTCCAAGATTGAAGTATGACAACGCGTATTTTATTGCGAGGCTGAAGTGCTTGATGTTAATGAAATACGAAGAGTATTTGTTGTATTAGTTTGCTGTGAAGTGGGAGAAGAGTTATTATTATTATAACGCGTCATCTTTTGATGAGTCATTATTTCTATTGTTGTTATATTGTAAAAATTGAAAATACACGAAGAAAGATAATTTGAGTATAAATCAAAAAATGATTCTTTTTATATAAAAATTTAAAATTTCAGTAAACTTTAGTAATAAAATAAACTTCAAATTTTATTATACTTAAAACAAAACATAATTAAAAATTAACTTATGTATCTTCTTGCCTACAAAATCGAATTATTTTAATTGCATGCAAACTGATTTGGATATCTTAAAATAAATATATATAAACGTTAAATATTAAAAATATCAAGTTTTTATTTGTTTTCTGAAATGTATAAAAAAAGAAAAAGGTCAAAGGTTGCATGCTATTGCAGTAAATGTGATAGCACATTGGTCGATCTATGAGTAATGTGTTATCATAATAATCATCATGAACAAGATCAAACAGTTTTCACCTAAGAAGAATTGGCTAATTTATCATCAGATAAACAAGGAAACGAATTTCAGCAGGATGACTATAAGGAAAAGAATCTAAATAAAATACAGCAAGAAGACTATAAGGAGGAAATGAATCACCACCCTTGAAGGTGTAAAAGATATACAAATCATCTTACATCAAACCTTGAACGAAATCTTATCATTGATGATAATGTTTACGATAATTTAGAAGTAAACAAGAATGGAAACAGTAAGAGCGAAAATTAAAGTTTGCTAAACGAAGATTATAATGATATTACTAAAATTTTTGAAGACTATTCATGCTTATCATTTATACCATTTCAAGAGATATATAATACATAATCGACAAATAATGATCACTTCTCATGGATATTATTATAGATAATAAGCTTTCTTGTAAAGTTTAATTTACCAGAGACAGCTACAGAGTCACTCATAAAATTCATGAAGCTTATATTAAAAGAAATTTATAGCCCTGAATTTGATTCTTTTCCTAATTTACTTTATTTAGTAAGAATGAAGCTCGGCTTAAAAGATAGCTTTCATAATTTCGCAGTATACCTGAAATGTCACAAATTATATGATGAAAAAAAGTCGCTGAATTTTAGAAAAATAGAAATCTTTTTGTTATGAATTGTAATCATGTTGAATTCCTGAATTCAGTAACTCGTAAATCAAAAATGTGCCAAATGAACTTATCTAAATAAGCGAAATTATTAAGTGTCAAATTATAAACAAACTAGAGCTAGTTTATTCATTTGTTAGAATTCGTAAACAATTAGCAGCTTTATATCATCAACTTAGCTTTGAAGCTTCACTGCGTCATTAGATAAATAGGCCAACATATGATAATATTTTAATGGACATATATGATAGGTAAGTTTGGCGAAATTTTAAGGATACTACTAAAGAAAATTTACTGTATTTTTTTCGAGAAGTCACTGACTCACATCTTGGTCTGATGCTAAATCTTAATTGATTTCAGCCTTATGAAGGAACTATTCATAGAACTGGTGTAATATACACTGTTATATATAATTTACCATGGGATATGCATTTTAAACACGAAAATATGCTAATTTTGGGCATCTTACCAGAGCTGAATAAAGTTATCTACACAAAATTAACTATTATTTGACCCTGATTGTTGATAAATTAGAGTCACTTTGGAGTGGAGTAACTCTGAATAGCACACATGAATATTCTGATGGGAAAAGAGTTTATGCGGCATTGATCTTAGTCTTATATGATATACCTGCTACAAGGAAAATTTGCAGTCACATTTCAGCATTAGTATCATGTCACATATGCGAAAAAAAGGCCAATTATAAAAATAATCAACATAATTTTGCAGGTATGTCAGACATGCATAGATAGTTTACGACTCAGGATTCAGCTTAACATCATCAAGATGCTATTGGTTGGTGAAGATGCAATTTAGACGCTATAAGAAAACGTTTTGTTAAAGATACTGAAGTTAGATGGTCTGAATTACTCTGTTTAACTTATTTTGACCCAATTCAATTTTTAATTGTTGACCTAATGCATTGCCTATTTTAAGTATCGTAAAATGAGTAATCAAAAGAATTTGAGTTAATGAAGGTGTTTTAATGCTAAGTGACCTAAAAAATGTCCAAAGAAAAATGAGCCAATTCTAAATTCCATCTAATTTAGGTTGAATCTCTTAGAAAATTGACTGTGAGAAAGATTTTTCAAACTTTACTGTAGATCAATAGCGAATATTCTTCACTATTTATGCAACTGTGTTACTTTAAAAACACCTTCCATCTAAAGATAAAAAAATTCTTACACACTTTGTTAGAGTTTGTTCAATTCTAGTGAATCAGATTTGGAACACGATCTCATAACTGAGGCTCATAATAGGTTGATTAAGATAGTAAAGTTAATTGAAGAGCATTATAGTCGAGATAAAATAACACCAAATCTTCACCTTTCGCTTCACTTATATGAATGCACATATAATTTCAGATCTCTTTACTCTTTTTGGTATTTTTCATTTGAGCGTATGAACGGTGTATTAGGTGAGTGAGTTTTTAAACTACGACCAATCTAATAATCTTCAATGTTTCTTTAAATTATTTTTTTTGTTAGGTTCTTTACCGAATAGCCATCGACAAATTGAACCTAAAATTATACGTCAATTAATATTTAACGCTCAAATAAGCGAAATTATGAGTTCTGGTATAGAAAGAAGAGGCTTTGAACTATTGAACAATAGGCCTTCAGTTAGATCTTTATCTGCAATTGATGAGTTTTCTTCTGACAAGATCTATCAATTCTTGCTTAACTCTAGAAATATTCAAGAATCAAAAATCACTGGAAGTGAAAGAATGCTAGGCAAAATGTTGAAATTTTCTTCTGAAAATATCACACTTTCGGCTACAATGTTAGATTTAATGGTCAAATATTATACAGCAGCTTATAAATCACTTAAATTTCATAAACCTAGAAGAGGTTCGATAGATAACATAACTATTTGTAAAAAAGTAGATAAATTTGGAAGATATCAGATTAGATCTGAAGTTTTCAGTTCAGTAATATCTTTACGGTATGCAAAAAGCTGTTATGTCTTGGCAAAATTCATGACAAATAATGGTTATGTTGATTGCTATCCCGAACAAGTTTAATATTACTTTACTCATATGGCTGACTTACCAGATGGCTCTCTAACACATTATTTAGCATACATCAGATGGTATCGTCATGCTGATTCGACAAATATATGATATTATTTTAGCGCTGAAAATACTTATAACGTTGAGTTATAATGCAATGGATTTTACCCTGAAAGTCATGACTGCATAATACCTGTGCATCATATCCTTAATCGATTCATTCCAGCGAAATACAAAGTTTCAAGTTATCATAATGCAGTAGAATATCTTACTATCAATCCAATTAACAGAAAATATCATATTTAAATAATTTAAATGACGATTTTATTTATATTTATGACTTTTTATAATAACATTTTATCAAATTTATAAAATTTATAATTAAAAATATTTCAATTAAAAATAGACTATAAAATAGCTAGAAATAGACTATAAAGCAGGCAAGTCTAATTTTAATCAGTTTTTAAATAGCTCTCAATGCTGCCGAAAGTTGACAATAAACTAAAAATAAGTAAGCCTAATTTTAGTTGGATTTTAATCGAATCTTAATGCCAGTTAAAATTTTGCCAAAACTTTTGCTAACATTATTGAAAGTTAACCAAAATTAATGATTGCTGATTTTTCTTCTAATCGGAGTCAAATTTCAGGTAAAATTCATAAAGAAGAAGGATTTTTAATTTTATGGCCGATCAGTAATAAATATTTTTTACTGTATATGCTACTGTTTTACTTTGGAAATATCTTTCGATTGTAGGTAGAAAGATTCTTACACATTTTGTAAGGATTTGTATAATTTTAGTAAGTCTGATTATAGAATTAGATCTATTATATAAAGAATATTGAAGAGTAATTAAGATGATGAAGTTGATTAAAAATAATCACAGGCGTAACAAAATCATACTAAATTTTTACCTTTCTCTCTATTTATATGATTACTTAAGAGACTATAGTCTGTTATATATATTTTGTATTTTTCTTTTAAACGTATGAATAGAATATTAGGTATTTTTTTTGAATTTCTTGAATAAATCAGCTTACAAATTTATGAATGATTTTTAGGTTCTTTACTAAATAATAATAAAAAAATTGAACCTAAACTAATACGTCAATTGATATTTGATATTAAAATTGATAGTATTATAAGTTCTAGTAGTATTGAGGTAAAAGAGCTTGAATTGCTAGATAATTAGCCTTTAATTTATTTCCTTTCAGATACAGACAAATTTCTTCTGATATAATCCATCAATTTTGAATAAATTCACAAAATATTAAGGAATCAAATGTTACTGATAGTGAACCATTTTCTGGCAAATTTCTTAAACTATCATCTAATAATATAATTATTTCAAGCAAAATGCTTAATTTGATGGTTAAATACTACAATATGACTTATATCACATTTGATTTTAGGAAGCTATTCGATAAGAATTTAAAAGATGATATACAGTAGTAGTCATAAGTATCTGACTGCCTGAGATCGTCCAAAATTATTATATAACTACCCCTTAAATTTTCTAAAAATATAATATAATACAATACATGATCACCTGTAAATTTATAAGTGTCGATAATACAAAAAAAAAATTTAGATGATCATCAAACTTTCACTTGAAAAATGGAACTTTCTTTAGAGAAACGATATGAAATTGTCTTTTTACGTGAACACCCAGCTGGTCCAAAGTTT